ACTTGATTAAGGAATACCTTAGCTACTACTGGCAATCTTAAATATTCTATTGAAGTAATGGATAAGGATGATATCCCTTCTATGATCTAACAAGGTAGAGGGGAAGGGGTACCACATAATACTACTACCATCATCATCACTATTACCTCATCTAGGAGGGTAGATAAATACTGTATATGAAGATTATGGCAATCTAATGTAGTGGTAACTGCCCTATACCATTCCTTTAGTATATCATCCTTATATCGTCTTAATAGATCCCTTAGAGATACTAGGAAGGTAATACTAACATCATCAACAGGATGATGATGATGATGGAGAGGATTGTAGTAGTAGTACTATGTAGTAGTGGCTCCTCGGTGATCTCCCTCATTGATTGTCCTTAATAGTTGAGCCCATTCTCCTGCCTCTGTATATTCAGCTAATGCTAAATGACAGCCCCATAGAGGATTATCATCATATGGAGTAGGTGGCATGATCATACTAAGGTATATGTAATCGTATTCCCTTATTATAATCAACAACAACAACAACACAATAGTATGATACATTATCTACAGTTCTTCTTCCTCTTCTTCCTATTAAATGCCCTCCATCCTGCAGTTCGCCTATCAAAACTGTTAACCTCAGCTTTCGCAGCAGCTTTAAAGTAGGGGTCGGTGGTATCAACAGCAGCACGTTCGGCTTGGGCATGCTAAATGAAGGATAAATGTATCATCACACAGAAGAAGAAGAACAGGAGGAAGAGGAGGAGGAGTTCTTAACAACTCTCCACTCGGGAATTCTCTATTATATTAATAATAATTGCGGAGGAGCTATATATCGCGATTACGGTGCAGCACTACTACTACTTGTCTCTTCCTTTCTATTCTTAATCGTCTCCTTTCCTCATCTTTATCTCTAGCCATCCTCATCTCCCTGGTAAATGCCTCCTCTAGATTAGACCATAATCTCTCCCTCTCCTCAAATGTAGATGCCTCCCACCACCTTAAGGATCAATATCCTATTCCACCAATCCTACTACTACTACCTCCATGTAGTATATACTTCCTCCTTATTATCATCATCATTATCCTCCCCTTCCTTTTCCATTATATCTACTAAGCGTCTAAAGGCATCTGTTGCTCTATCATCATCTTTACACTTATCTGGATGCACCTATTATCTACATTATCATCATACCACACCATCGTCACTTGTTCTACTACTAATAAGGCTAGTCTTCTGAAGTTAGTACGACGTGTAGATGATGTCTTCCCTAATATAGTATCAATATCCTTACTATTAAGTATATACTCAATAGCATCTTTAGAATTATTAGGTACCCTTAGCATAGAATCATCATCATGGTTATTGACCATATATTATACAACCCTATACCCTTATACCACCACTACACAGTAATAACACAATAATACTATTCATGTAGTACGAGTATATTCAATTATACTTAGCCCCTAGCCTGTATAATGATTCCACTT